AAAAAAAATATAGGCGTAATTCATAACACTTTTTGCGACAAAGCCAAATCAAGTTGCAAGGTTTTGATACAAATAAATAATAAGATTAAAATTCTCCAAAATCAAACATTAATTTATACACAAACATCCAGATTAAACAAGATTCCAAAGATTGAATTTTTTATACATACCTTGTCTATCGATTTAAGTATCAATTTTTTTTTCCGATCAATCTAATTTCCGTATCCCACTTCATCGATCATTTGATTTCTCCTCCACCTCCATATCCGGATCCAATTGATTTTCTGCTAGTGGAGGCGAGTGATGGTTGCGGCTAGTGGACGAACGACGGTGAAGAGGACCATTGAGGTTTTGTTGTCTGGGATCGAGCGCATAGCACAAAGAGTCGGCGATGGAGACGATGACGGTGGTGGTCGGCAGCCAAGATGATGATGGTTGTGGACGATGGTTTTTAGAGAAAGACAAGAAAAGTATGGTGGTGTTATAGAGTTGTAAAACTGATAACCTAATTTAAAGGGGATATTATTTGATTTTATCAATTTACCATAATTAATTATAGTATAGATTACTATTATACCCTTATATTTATTATTAATGATTAATGATTTATTTTTTTCTTAAATTCTCATTGGTTCATACATGCAAACAATAGTTGCTAGAAACATTTGAACCTAGCGCGTTCTCTCTCTCTCTCTCTCTATATATATATATATATATATATATATATATATATATATATATATATATATATATATTCAAACTATAAAACTTACATTCATATGGATACTTGTTTAAATTAATTTAATATTAAAAAAATATCAAAATATCAAAATTCTTTTAAATACCCTTTCTAAATTAAAAATTAGAATTGAATCTAATTAAAAAGTTCACACGCCTTCGTTTCTTCCTCGTTGCAAGCTATGAAGATTATCAATCGTATTTAACCTTACCCTACCAAAGATGGAGACTTTTGGGTTTAAAGGCTCCAAAATCTTCATTTTCCATTTTGTTCTCCAAGTGTGGGGAAGGAATAAAATATAAATAGAGAGAAAAACCATGAAACACAAGAGCCGCCTCACCAAAAATGGATTTCGTTTAATTACTTACCTCCGCTTACCCCTCGTTTATCCATTGCATTTTTTTAGAACAGCAATACAAATGCTTTTTAATAAATGAAGCTTTTTTTTACCGCATATTATCTTATCCTTCATTTTGACATTTGTCATTTTGTGAGAATTTAAAAATTTTATTTTCCACTTGTCATTTTTTAGGGATTTTTATTTTCTTAAAATAAAATTCATAAAATTGTAATGGGTTGTATAAGAAAATAAAATCATCTATTAATTTGGCAATAAATTCTCATAAATACTTTTAACGATTTAATGTATTTTGCAAATTTTCAAAATATTACATTCTGTTATATAAAGTATTACATTATAAAATATTTTATATTTATATATTGATATTAGATTTTTATTTTTAATAATAATACACGGGTCTCACACCTAGTATATACTAAACTACTCTTAAATTATTCCACCTATGTCCACAGTTGGACTTTAATTGTTACTTTTTTCGCAATCTCATTTTCCTTTAGATTAAGGGTTTTTTTTTTTGGAAGGGGAATTTCTCAAAAGTGAGTTTCGGACCAGTTTTAGTGTACCGACTAATCATTCGTTGAAAACATGAGGTTATGCCTCATGTCATGAAGTCACTGCAGACTAACATTCATGGCCATACATGTTGAGTAGTGTCAGAAGTTGAACATGATTCACTAATGTATTCATCATATCTTCCACATGTCTTACCTCTTAATTGAAAAATTAAGAGGTAACCTCTTAAAAGTTCACATATGTCTTGTTTGGTAGATTATATTAATCTATGCAGTTATAGCGGTCCAAAATCAAATATCGGTTAAGGGTCTATATCTGAGATATCGGTTATCGTAGCGGGATATCGGTTTTTTTATATCAAGCATAATATATATAATTATATATATAGATAACGTAAAATATATAGTAAATTAGAAAATTTTCAAAGAAAATGTTTGTCAATCCTATAAAAACTCCACAATATATCTACATTTTAATAATAAATGAAGTGATTTAATAAAAACTTTAGCTACAATCGCTATTTCACCACTATCCCACCGATATTTGCCAAATATCAGTCAAATAGTGGTCAAATATCAGTCAATATCGTCGGTATTTACGGTACCACTATTTTGCCAACTACCGCTAACCGTTATCTCACCGTTATCTCAGTGCTATTGACTGCACATGCAACACTTAATAAATACATCTGAATTAGTTAATAGGCTCTTAAAAAATCAGACTTGTGGATACATCTGAAAACAAAAGGATCGATATGCCCTAAACCAAAATACACGCTCCTCCTTATTCTGATTAACGGACGCCACATCATCTTTCTTCAATCGACGCCTCCGAAATTTCTTTCTTCCATCAATGCTCCTTTTCTCCATTTCCGGCGTCGTCTCCGACTCCGGATTCGTCTCCACCAAGCCCTCCGACGCCGTCTCCGCCAAGACCTCCCATGTTGCACTATTCCTACAACTGCTGCACCATTCCCCCATCCGTTATTTGCTCAGATTCGCCTGCTAAACTGATTCGATCCTCATGTACTTTGATTTCCTTATTTATCTTGCTATGTTTCTTTTGGTAGTGCTTCAAATTAAAGATTGTTTCTTTTAGTAGTGCTTCAAATTAGAGGTTATTTCTTTTTCTTTATTTTTATGAAATAAGAGGTATGCAATTTGTTATGAAATCAGAGATTGTTTATTCTTTTGGGATCGTCAAGTAATTTGGGTTTGATTTTGTAATGGAATAGTTATTGTTGAAATATTTACACTAAAATATAAGGTTCTTTGATTGTTTTATGGAGATCGATTTATGCCATTTTATCATTCTAGTCACTGATGTATATTGTATTGGTTAAATTTGTAGGACCAATACATATTTCACAAGACTAGTTTTTGCTCAAATATTTACAGGCACAATATTATTCTATCATTCATATTTCTTTAATTGCAGTTTGTGTGTATACTACTCACGTGTAAGCTTCAAGTTCATGATCAATGGATGTATGGAACTACAATGGAGTTTATGGGTTGTTGGTGTTTTGAGTTTCATTTATGATTTGATGTTAGTTTTTAGCTTAAAGTTCATTTCACAATTTGATGACAACTGAAAGTTTGTAATGATAAAAAAAATCAATCACTTGAACTTTTTGTTTTTTTACATTGTGAAAAAATGGAATGTACCCAGTGATCAATTGTGCCTATTATAACAAGATGTAGCGTTATTCTCTCCAATTTTTGGATTATTATAGAGTTGTACTTCCTATTTCTACCTAATTAGAATGTCAGAATTGAAAGTACAATGTTGTAATCGAAAGAAATGATACAGAATGGTAAAATTCTCATTTTTATCATTTAACATAAAAATTCAAATGTTTAAACCAAACAACATGTTAAAATTAAGATCTTAAAAATTCAGATCCTCTTAGAAATTCAGATATCTTAGAAATTCAGATTCTGTCAAACAACCCCTGACTATCCGTAGGTAAGGTCAAAGACCATTATGAATATTCGTAGATTACGAATAAATGATGCACCGAAAGATTTTTAGTATTTAATTAGGTTTATTAATCTTTGATTAAGTTGGTTTAATCCTAATTTTTTAATTTAGAATGGTAGTTTAGTAATATCACATGATATTTTGAGTTTTAAATAATTTTTTCAATATTAAATATGTTTAATCCTAATTAAATTATGTGTTTGGATATATATGTGAATTTTATAGTTTATAAATGTAAAATTTGTAAGGATATACAAGTAATATTTAAAGTTTGAAATGATATGAATAAAATTTTCCTTTTTAATAATACATATTGAACCATACAAAAATTTAATGGAATATTTTTTCAGTTCATTTAATTGTTAAGCATTTTATATTTAAAAACCTTCGATTGTTGTTGACTACAATTTCAGTCAATTGTACAATATATACAGGAAAAACACAACAAATTATATATGTATATGCGGAAAAAAATTTATATTTTTTTATGTTTAGAAAAACCCTTATATTATTACTTACGTTTCAAATAAAATCAAATTACAAATTTTTAAGAGAAATGACCGGCTAAAAATATGATTGACATGCATATTCATGATATTTCTTTGATTGTATGCGAAAACATGTTAAAACCTACATTTATTTGAATTACTTTTGCTCGATTGTGTTCTCCATATGAAATTTTACGATTGATTTTTCCATCTTTAGCTAATCGTTTTTATCATAATTAATGTCGTATTAAAAAACAAAAATAAAAGAAACATAATATTTGTAGTCGTCAATTTCTTTTAAAAACTCATAATTTTTTTTGAATGGTAACTATTATTGTAACGGTTTTTCTAAATATAAAAGTAATATAATAGTTTTTTTTTTTTTTTTTTTTTTTTTTTTTTTTTTTCATATGCATATATAATTCGTTGTGTTTTTTATATATCCCATCAAATTTATATCTCACTATAGTTAATTTAATTTGTCTGATGCCAACTTAAAATTTCACATCGCCTTTAATTTGTCTAATGCCAACTTGGAATTTCACATCACTCTATAATTTTATTAAACTATGCATCGTTGATATTTTTTTTCAAAGGAAATATTCATTATACTACCAATGATAGTCATTAAACATTCAAACCAAATACAACCCCTTATGATAAATAAAATTAAAAAAAAAAAGTCACTTAAGGAAAAATTTATCAAAGTCATGTCGGCAAATCGATGATGAATGCCTGACCCTGAGCAAGTAAGAACATGATCAAAACATGTCGATCAAGCTTATAAATGTGATCATGATCGAGACTTGTGGACTAATTAGATCATGATCGAACACTTACAAGCCTTAGTTCTCGAAACTAAGATCATGATCAATACGTACCTTATATGGATCTGGCTCATAGACTATGATCATGATCAAGACTTGCGTCCTCGACTCACAACAACAATAAAAAGTACTATAATGGAAAGCAAGAAAGAGCTCCTAAGTTTTTCTTCAAATGAATTGAGGCCTATATCGCCATCGGCGTCTTTCTTCCACTTCTCATCCTTTCCAATGGGCCTAACCAATTCATTTACGATCTGTGTTATTTTCTCTACTATTTCAATCATTTTCTCCTTTGTATTGACAAAGATCCATCGAAGAACTTGTATAACCGGATTCGACTCATCAACACTATCCTCAGAGCACTCAGAAACGCTCTTACCTGTTGCATGTAAAGTTTAAACCATACTGTTTCTTAGAATATTTCACAAGAAAATTGGTTAAAAGAAACGAAGGTTGTATATCATATTATCATGGTTCACACAGTAAAATTATCTAGAAAACTATAACATCGCGAAAAACATAAGTACTTTAGTTTGCACGAACCTTCATTAACTGACTCACGAAGCTCACGTACTACCTCGTTGTTCATAACAGCGTCCCAAACAGCCTTGTCAGATGACAACGAAATCACCATTCTCTACACCAAACAAAATCAAGAACCATTTTTTTGACAAAATCGAAGGATTAATGGATAAAATTTTCAAATATGTAGCATCGTACCTGAACTGAAGGATCAGTTTGCAATAGATGGAAAGCATCATAAACTCTTGTCGATCTAGGATCATGCAACGCACTTGTTGTGTCATGTAGTTGCAAAGATGGCTCAATCCAATCTAACTCGGATCCAGATTTGTGAAAAACAGTAGGACCTGAAATCTTTTCGATTCCATCATCGTACGTACCATATGTTCTTCTATTCTTGATAATCGGATCAAGAACCCTGATGTTCACAAAATAGAACACGATTTCATCATAGAAATCAACCAACGATAATAATCATATGTTCGTCATTTTCATTTTGTGATCAAAAGGAATGATTTTTGTATTCCAAAAGAATAATGAAACGAAATTGAATACTTACTCCTGGAGAGAAGAGACTGCATGATGAACTTCGTCTTTGGATGGAACACTGCCAAATACAAAATCATCGTAAAGCACTCGATTTAAACTCTCGCCGTCGTCACTCCCTCCGCCATGGATGTATTCCCAGTCGAACTCTTCACCGGTGATCGGTGACGACGAGAAAACCCAGTTGGTCGGCGCCGGGACATGGTGGTTGAGGTAAGAGCAAGGCGAGGAGAGGTGAGCGTTGGATGAGAGAGAAAGGGTGGTGTTTATGGGTTGGTTACGGTTATTGGTGGTTCTTGTGGTGGTTGTGGCGGAATGTGAACAGGGTTCTTGGGACGCCCCACCACCGAGGCCAGCCCTGACGGTTCTGTGAACCGTCTTGATCATCCCTCCACCGCCTCTGCCTCCGCCTCCGCCGCTGCCCATTCCCGGCCCAAACGATCGCCTCATCTGGAACGATTATCTCGTTGACTGATTCCCTTTCTGATGTGTGATAATAACTACTCCTTGGGGTTGTAAATATGTACAAGGATAAAGATTTTGCTGGAAATTTAAGAAAAAGTAAAACATATGTGGATATATATATACTAGAATTTATTATATTTTTTTTAACCGTCAAATACAAATATATAATCTACTCCTAAACTAACACCTAATTTCACCTATGTCCACGACGGGACTTGAACCATCGACCTCAAAGAGGGAGTACATCACCTGATACCGTTGAGCTAGAAGTTTGCGCAATTGTTAGATATACTTTTTATCATGTGATTATGCATAGTTAAATAATCAAAACTATATTAATTCCAATAAATCAGTATAAAAATTTTATTATATGATAGTTTATTTCATTTAAATACTACCTGAAGTGAAAAAAGATTATCCAAATGAAATGAAATTACACATCTCTCTTTATATAAGCGTCTCTTTTTCCGACAAGAACATTTTTATCATTTTAGTCGTTTAGACAGTAAGAAATTTATTAGCAATATTTTATATATATTACAACTTGGTAAAATGAAAATATATTTATTTATAATATTTTGTGGTCATTCTCATAGTTATTTGTTTAATTATGTTTATTTAGTATCACAATATAAATATTTGAATTGTATTTTACTCGATTGACAAATATGATAACTTTAACTTAAATTTTTTGACAAGATCTTCGGTTTGTTGGTTAATAAAAATGATTTTTACGGATTAATGTGGTATTCCTTAATTATGATGAGCAATAGTAAAGTATGTTTCTTAAAATTTTAATAAAAAGAAATTATCTATATTTAATTTTATTACTATAAAATTTTACCTTGGAAGAATAAAAGAACGAAGATAACGTTCCGTTTCGTTTCTAGTTGGGCATATGATGATATCTAATTTGGCCTTTTGCTCTGCAAAGTACAACCAACCAAAATTGCAGCAACCTTTTTGTTCCTCGTATTGTTTGCTTGCCATTTGTCTACCCTCCTAATTAACTATTTGGGTATATTTAGGGGTGTTTGATTAAGCTTTTCAAAACAACTTATTAGGTTCCAACCACTATAACTTAAAAAGTGTTTGGATGAAAATAATTTATTCCGGTGGGGAACCTCTAATAAGTCAATTTTTCATAAGTTACCCTACACTTACTTATTAACTTATAAGCTAATAAGTTAATAAGCAATGCCAAACACCACTCTTTAAATATGGCGTGGCAAAATGGTAAACTTAAATGATATGTTAGTGCCGATGAGAATGAGAGAGAGGAGAAAGAATGTACATACGAGTGTTTATTTCTTGTGTGTGTGTGTGTTTTTTTTACTTTTGTTATGTCACAAAAATGTCATGACAAACATTTTATGGTTTAAAAAATGACGTGACAGCATGGCATGACATGCTCTACTCCCTTCAGCCTTAAGATAACTAAATAAAGGTGATTATAATACATCTTAATAGTTAATTTTTGACAAAATTGCAAAAATGATTATTATGGTTTGTGATTTATATGGCTTGGGTTTTAAATTGAGCAATCAAATATTATATCTTTATACTTTTTTTTCCTATCATCTTCCTATACACTTAAGATTGTGATACTTGTCATATTTAATAAAATTAATAAAATTTTATTACATTTGTCATCATAAAAGTGATAGAATGAAGGGTATGAAGAAAAAAATAGAAAAATGTCTAATTTCTCTTTTAAATTACAATTTTGTCATTTTTAATAGGTTTCGTTGTGGTGTTTTGGTCCATTTTTCAAATTGAAAACACTAATTTGTCCTATATAATTAATAGACACACATCACAATAATCGATATATTTTTTACCTGATTGCTATTATGTTTTTAGTGCAAATGTTTTGTTTATTGGTTTGCTCTATGTCCAATACAATAAGTTTTAGATATTTACATTAGGCCAAGTGGTATACCGAGCACGAGGACGTTTGTGGTCGAGTTGGCCACGAACAACGGGCGTGCACACTACCCCGTTGTTTTGTGGTGGCTCGTGTTCGTTCTCGCTCGTGTTCGGGACAACGGAATCGCACGACCAATTGGATTGAAGCACTCGATTTGAACATTACACTAGCCGTTGAACGGCTAGTTTGTTAAAATAATAATAATAATAATAATCAATTTATTTACCTATATAAATACAACACTTTTACTCCTTATTTTTTACACCATTCTTTTCTATCTTTATACACAATCTACATACTACATCTTCACAACCAAAAACCATGGATCCCAACCAAAATACCCCTCCAAACTATAGAAATCGCAAA